AACGGGGGGGGCCTCGAGGCAAAAGAAATAATTATACCTCCATTCCCTCCTACTTCTCCGATCAATGGGAGAAAATTCCGTTCACGTTCGGATAGTATGTGATCGTTGATTTCTCTAATTGCTCCCCCTTTTTCACAACTATTGGCTGCGCGCACTTCTTGAATCTTATTTACGTCGGCGGGGTAATTGCTTAAAAAGGCGTAGAGCTAATTTCTAGCGATTCTTGTATTCGATTTCCCAGAAAGCGCTTACTAAAACCTTTCAAATGGGTCTACTCGAGTAACTATTACTCTCGTAGCACCAAGTAAAGAAATTACTTCGCAGATTTGTGTAACCAAAAGCTAGTACCGTCCACCTCAGCAAATTTTAAAGAGTGTATCCCGCCGATCGGTCGCGGGCTGTCCGTTGCGGCCACCTCGCTTGACTGGCGTCGGACTATAACATTCGTAGCGCTTATCTACATTTTTCGCATTGGCGGCGATCGAACTGGACGCAGGTTCTGTCATATCTTGATGTCAGCGGGCGCGGTTTTGAACGCTTTTGCTTCAATTGTTGGCGCAGTCGTCACATGGACGTCGTCAAATTTCTTTCTCTCCCGATATATAGGGAGACACACACACTTAAGAGATTTGCATTACTCTAATTTTTTGGGAGTAACATGCAAAACATAACAAAAGATTTGCATTTTAACGTTTGTACATTTCAACATTCCCCACACCCAAAATTCGCCTCTGGATCCGCCCCTATGTGACATTATTTTCCATTGAAAATATTGTTGTAACCTTTATCGGCGACCATACCGGTATAGACGTCCTATAAAGCTATTTTACCGGTATAAAACAATAAAGGTATTCGACAGAGGTATGGAAAACTCCGGTATTCAATATTTCGGACCTCGTATGTGTCCGCATTTTTTAAACTCCCATAAAAATTGGAGTACTTCAAATCAAACCGCACAAATTATAGTCAGAAACACAACATGGACACTAAATTACCCTCCCTTGGCTTAAGTTTTATCCACAGTTTTCATAGGAAATAATACTTATCAGAAACCAATTAGGATTGAAAGGTGACAATTTTGAAGAGAACGACGAGGAAAGTGACTGAAACGAGAGTGCAAGTGAAGATGAAACCTATAATATTGTTTAATGCTATAGATTAACCTATGTAATGTTTCTGCAAATAAAGCCTCTGATGTCATATTGATCGTGAACTTTTTAATCCTTCCTTGGTACATCACGTTATGGAAAAAAGATTGCCAATGCAGGATTAAAGAAAATTTGTACATTTGCAAGCTCTTATTCTACAACATATTGTTCAATTCTTTTAGATTTATATAAAAAATATAATTTTAACAAATAAAAAAGTCAATTCCTGTACGATTCTATGCGGAATGACTCAGGTAAGCAATGCAGTATGTATCGAGCTCCATATCGAAAGTAACAAGCGATAGCGTATTAGGGAGTTTGTGACAGCATTAACGTCAGCAATATCGATCTCCTCTGCATACGGAGAAGATCGATAGTGCTGACACAATGGCGTGCACAAACTTCCTAGCAAGAAACAGAGAAGGGATTAAGGAGGGCTGCGCCCCCAGCCCCAATCTTGGGACAAATTAAAAAAAAAAAAAATACTTTCTCATACATTTTATTTCGCGGATCTTCAAATTTATATATAAAGGATTTACTTGTTTATGTATTTCGAGAGAAAAATAGTAATAATTAATCGAACAACAATTTTATTAAGCTAGTCTAATAATATACATAAATAAATTGAACTTAGATCGGTATTATAAAACGCGCGGAATTATGTCCAGCGTTATTGTAAATATCCCTTACTAATAAATCCTCTTTATGTTATTATGTTTTGATTTTCAACGGTATTTACTTAGAAATTAAATAGTTTCGTGCCTAATATCACGAGTCATAACATTCAAATGTTTTTGGAGATTTAGGAGGGGAGTGGGATGGGATATAGGAGGGATTAGGAATATTTAGTGGTTGTCTTCGGTTCAAAGTGGGTCAGTATTGAGTCTGTGATTTAAGTCGTCTTTGTCGGTTCTTTTTGTTTCCACCCTTTGTCCTAGGTTATGGGAGGAGGGAGTTGCAGGACGTCGAGGGGGGATATGGTGGTGGGGTAGGATTAGGTTTCTGAACTGAGGATTGGTGATGAACTTTTGTAGGGTTTGAACCGAGTTATAAAGGTGGGTAAGGAAAAGGGTCATTTTGTGTTGTTCTCGTAAGTCATTAAGGCGGGTTAACGGAGGTGGACGGAAGATCAGTCGGATTACCGTTTTCGGTGACGGTTAGTTTCCTGTAATTGATGATGGATGTGTTCAACCATGTGGGATGGGCGGATATAGGAATTGTAGGCTTGGATTTTCTTTTGGATGGGGAGAGCAGGAACGATTTTAACTAGTTTAATAACTCCCTTTTGCCACCATAGGCCCGTGGTTCAGTTGTACACGAGCTGATGTGTAACAGGTGTTCGTCTTTTCTCAGTTCAAAAAGCTTTGGAAGGTAAGTCTGGCTTTTTACAGTTTGTTCGCTTAGACCGACTTAAATGGCAATGGTTATAAAATAAGCCCCAAACTTTAAGGAGCTCGTATAGTAATTGAGTTCGTACTATTTTTGTTTTAGATGCCACGGAAAGTTCCAGGCCCAAAACAAAACTAGTGGTGCTACGGAATGGCACAGACTATCATACCACTTAGTTTCCTAATTTTTTTGGTCGGGCCTAGCTTGCCGGTCATTCTCCATCTTACCAGTGCCCAAACAATTTTAACTACTTTAATATCATTGAAGAGTAAATCTTCGTTCTATTGGGAAATTGTCGTTGACAAAATTTGGTGCGATTTTTATGAAAATGGTATTTAAGTGTTACTGTAAACGCGAAATTGGAATATGTTTTTCTCAAACAACTATTCAATTTCGGAAAACTTTATTGAGTCGTTTGAAGCACTACCACTCACAAATGCAATAATGTATACAAATCGCCGGAAATTAGCATATCAATGGCGTTATTATATACATAAGTAATTTTTGAGAGAAAAAAATGATACAGCAAAATTAATTTTATGTGTATTAAGGTGTAATTAACATTATCCGAAAAAAAAGTTTCAAGAAGAAAGTTGGAATAGATTTTGAGGAAGTGGAGTTTGAGTATTTCTGAAAATCCGCAAATTTGAGCTCATTTTCACAGAAATCTGTCGAGGTTTCGAGAAACCTTAGGACATCATTTAAAGCACATATTTTTATAAAATATATGAACAAATCACATCTAATATAAATATTAAGGCCATGAGAGAAAGAAAAGAATAAAGAAAAATATATAATAGCGTAATTCTTGGAAAAAAGCAAAAGGGAGCAAAACAGCGGTCATTTTATACAGTATATTAACACTATCCGCCCCAAAAGTTGGCGCATGTCCTCAAGGAAAGAACTAATTATGGAAAAAGTTTTATATGAAAGAAAAATCTCAATATTCAATTTTGTAGTTGTAGGAAATTGCTGAACAAATTTCAATCACTTGCAATTTTCAAAAATTCAGAGTTATGAGTAAATCGGGGCTTTGCTATCTTTTTAAAGTATTTCTCTTTTTGAAAAGAAATTTAAAGGCAAAATTTGGGGCCATTTTCGCGAAAAATTTTGAAAATGTCCCGAGATCTTAATGTAAACAACCCTCCAAAATTGCAGACTTACTCAGGCCAGATTGACAAGAGTTTATTCAGTACAGAAAAAAGTAGTATGCATAGATACTCTCTAACACATTGTCTAGGCACTGATGTTCATACATCTGAAAGTTTGTTTTTGTTTTTTTCTCTCCCTGATGTTCACATAATTAGGTAGCCATTTTGGGGGAGAGGAAAAAACAAAAACTTTTTCGGTATTAGGGGACCCCTCAATAATTGTATGGTGTATTACTGTTGAAATCAATTTTCTGCGGCATTCCAGAACATTCTCAATACTCTGTACACAAGAAAATAACTAGTGGTGCTACAGAATGGCATAGATTTTCTCGTAAGTTTCCTAATTTTGTTGGGCTGGGCAAACTTACATTGTCTCATCTTGCCAGCTACAATCACTGCCGCGCCGCAAGTTGTTCCCCCCCCCCCTCAATTTTTGGTTTTCTAATGGTAGAACCAAAATAATACTTTAAGAATATTAAATAAGAGTAAAACCTTGTGATAAGGAAATTTTTGTTAAAATATTTGGAGCAATTTTGAATGAAATGGCATTTAAGCGTTACTGAAAATTTGAAATTTAAAGCTCATTTTCACAGAAATCTTGCAAGTTTGTGAAAAGTTCCAACTTTTGTATGGATATTGCTAAATGCAGTTTAATACGAATTGATTGTGGGACTTTTAATTTTTTGCGAGAATTACAATGCAAGTTTTTGAATTCTCTCTCACGCAGTTAATAAGCTCTCCAGCAATTTGTAAACACTATCACATTAAAGTGCATTAAATGACTTCCAATGAAGTTTTTCGAAAACTCAAAACTGTTCTATGAAAATGAACTGCTTTCGCATTTACAGCAACACTTACAGCTTGAATGTTTTTCTTAAGACTGCTCCAAATTTTTCAAGAATATTGCCATTTAGAACAAGGTTTTACTGTTATTTATAATTATTTAAGTAATATTTTGGTTCTATCAGGAAACGGAAGCTGAAAAAAGGTAAAAAAAAAAAAAAAAAAAAAAATGTACGTCGGGCAGATATACAGCAAGTTCGCATAGCTAGCCCAGAGCAAAGAAAATAAAAAACCTAATACAAGAAAGTCTGTGCCATTCTGTAACTCCACTAGTTTTCAAACAAGACTTCAATTATCGATTTCTAACCCCCCTTCTGTGGCAGTTAATAAAGTGTTGTTTTTTTTTTTTTAGTTTACACAAATGTTGAAGATGAAGTTATACTTAAAAAAAATTCATTTTCTTAAACTAGAAATAAAATAGGGACGGCTTCTCTATAGATAAAACTAAATACTTTCTATCTTACCAAAAACAGAAAATTGTATTTTAATTAAAAGAATTTATTAATATTTAGGTTTTAAAATACGTTCCCTACAAATATGTATAAACATTTGTGATCACAATAAATAAACATTTTTGAAATTTTGATGTGATTCACTGAGAAAAATGCGAAGTTGAATTTACAGTTCCATTCAAATAACGAGGATCGCCTATGTGTTCAACCAATCTAATTAATGACATTCAATAATAATCAAACTTGAAATTTGTATAATTGCAGCACAATTAACTTAAATATCCTTTATATTTATCCTATAACTTTAATATCCCAAATTTGCGCCACCCCCAAAAGAGATCCAAATAATCCCACTGGTACAGAAAATGTTTTTTATTTCTATAAACCTCCAGATAATGCACAATTCACTTGAATTATATTGTAGGAAGTAATTTGGGCATTGTAACTTTTTCATAAATTAAAAAGGTCTACTTTTTTCAAACTCTGGGTACTTATTTTGGTTTAGTTTTTCTCAGGATAGCTGTTATGTTCGTAGATATTTTGTATTAACTGTTACGAATCATATTAGGTACACGGAAAGTGTGTAGTTGCACCACTTTGCAATTGGGAACTGAATAATAATAAATCATTGGCAGGGACGCAGGAAATCCCAACAGAATAGTAGTTTTAACAATTTGTCATTCTAGATCTTCTTTGAATTTACTGCAATAACTACAAATATTAAAGTAGAAAGGAAAACGAAACATTTCTCAAGAAAAATTTACATTTCAAGAGCTTTTTTGTTTTATTCACAATCAAAGATAAATTTAAACTTTTTCAGCGATGATCCTCCATAGACAGTCAGCAGGCAGCACTTTCTTCAGTTGTTAGCTTGCCTTTCTCCCTTGCCCATGCTGCCAGGACGACCCTTCGATCTCCTGTCAAAATTCTCTACGATCCTTATCCATTTTCAATTTCACTATAACAGTCTGTGAACAAATAAATTCTGTTTAACAAACAAGAAAAATTACCTTAATACATTGTAATACATATAAAAGCACTCATAACAGAGTTCATCATAACTTCTTAATTTTACAATTTGAAGTGAGCAGAGACAATAACGTAACCTTTTTTCACATACCAGAATGGATTATTATTTCCTGAACACAGAAAATATAGCAAAGTGTGAAGGACAATGGTAGGGAAGCATTTTATGAACTACGAAGGTTGCCTTTTAATGTTTCGGGATTTGGCACCCTGGTGTTGCAATCTGGCAACTGAACAGCTCCTATCGTAAAGTTGGATGCTTTGAGGTTATTACGAACTGCAGAACGTTTTTACACTACGGCGCCTATTTGTTCTGTGTACAGTAACTTAAAAAAGATTCATCTTGGTAAAAACGAAATTAAAGCTTGAACATTTTCTTGCAATTATTTTTTTACAAACTTCGACGTGGATTAAACCTCAGCAAGCAGTGCATGGATGAACTTAATTCAATTTTGGGCGATGCAAGCTACATCAAGGACCGGTGTTTATTCGATGGTATGATGGAATTCAATCGTTGATGGCGTAGTTCACTGCCATGACGAATTTCACGTCTTCCAAATAAGTTGTTCCGAAAACCAATTGATTGCGTGGCGTGAACTGATTTTGCAAAGATCGTCATGTGACCTAGTCGTGAGAGACAACCTTAGGCATTGTAAGGATCAGCATACATTCAATATTGCATGAACATTTGACTGTCAAAAAAATTTGTTCGCATTGGATCCCACACATTGGCTGTGAATTTCTGAATTGGCAACAAGGCATCAGCATTTGGAATTTAAATAAAATAACCTAGTCAGTACAATAGAGAATTTCCAATGCAATTTTATGCCAAAATATTTCTTGCCAAAACACATTATGCTTCACACTCAATTACCTGGTTTTCACCACCCCCTTGTGGCTAATAATTTTAAGATAACGTGCAAAGGTAGGAGGATAAAGTTCAACATGATCTCATTACAAAATTACATTAGTATTAGTTAGCACATGTTGCTCTGACCCTTTCAATTATTTCACTAAGCAAACCACAGAAACACCCAGTAATAAACATGAAAGATACATGATGAAGCTTGTTATTTTATTTCAAAATAATGGTTTTCTATGAACACACACAACTTTATTGTACATCGTTACCCTTCGGCTGTTGGCTTTGGGGACTTGTATAGTACTTTGATCAGAGATGGTAAAATATTTGAAATAAGGTTGTGAAATAGGAAAAACATCCTGGTAAATAAATAAGATGCTACCAAGTCTGCCTTTTTCATTATTATACTAATCCTGGTTTGCATGAACATTTTTAACAATTTATTAAATTCTATTTGTTCTGGAACTTTTGCCTTAATGAAAGAAAGTTTTGCAAGAACATTCTATAAGTTTAATAATTTGTGGAAGTACTCTTTATAATATTGTTGGAGTTATCAACAAGGCGATACAATCCCATCAGGAGAGTGTCTATCGATATGCGGAGCAATCAACTGACGGTCCTGTGTCCTCTAACTAGAGCAATACTGGCTCTGTGACCATCGAGTAGAACGTGGGTGATCTGGGCTGTCCGGGTGACGCCGCGTCGAAGCATGAGTTGCCGACGTTTCGACCATCCTGTCGTGGTCTTCCTCAGGGCTGGTATGAATGAAGACCACGACAGGATGGTCGAAACGTCGGCAACTCAGCCTTCGACGCGCCGTCACCCGGACAGCCCAGCTCACCCACATGACTCTGGCCGCGGAAGCCTACGACTTCATCGAGTAGAACGTGTGTGGCTTGGTGTGTGCGTCAGGAGTTGTAATTGGCCAGAATCTGCCTGTAATCAGGGAAAGATCTGTGTCGACAGACTGGGATGTGAGCTGTCCATAATTCCAACACCAACACACACACATTAATAGAAAACACACTCGTGTCTGTGTCAATGTTTTCTTAAAATTCGAAACTGCTGCGCTACCAACCTAGTGCCTGAAAGCTGACACCACATAGGAAGCACCTGGCGATTGATTTCAGAGACAGGAATAGAATCTATTAATCATCGCATGTGACAGAAGACACTTTTATAAAAAGCTGTTTATTAACATTCACCTGAAATAAAAGCTTGAAAAGTTTTCTTGATTTATTACAGGTAATTTATTTATCCATTGTAATTACTTAAAATTGTGGGAAATTATAAACTCTTTGTATTACAGAAACCAAACTAAGTTTTTATTTCCGAATTTAAATCTCAAATTACTTTAAGGTTACAACCATACTTAAAATCAGGACTGTAAACAGTTAACCATGCTGTAACATACACTCTTGCAATACTTATGCTGCCTACCCTACAACATGAAAGTTATTTTTCTATTGATGTCCAGGAGATGTGAATATAGCAGACCTAAGAATATTTTTTAATTGCTCCACCTAGCGCATCTGCTTTATCTTTAAAACTGTTGCAAACTTTTTCACGCCACTCGTTTTTTATTTATTAGTCACTGTGTAGGTGATTATTTTCAATTGTATTTGAATAGTAGCTAATTATATCCAAAATAATAAATTTCTCTCTTTCCGAAAAATTCCCACTATTTCTTTTATTTTTATTCTTTGAGGAAGAAACACAATTACAAAGTCTTGTTACTAACACTCACAGGACGGGACATGTAGTTGAGAGTGTCTGAAGAAGTTAGCAGTCAAAGACCGGTACGTGGAAGGTATAGGAGACTTCGGCATTCGTTAATGAACATCCATGAAAACTATAATCCATTTCATATTTGCTTTAAAGAAGGAATAGTAAACAGATTGTTAAATGTCATTCTTGCATCAACCTATTCTTTAAAAGACTAAATAGTTTTCAAGATTGCCAACAATGGAATAAAATGTTATATGACACTTAATGCGCGTATGCACTTATCTATGAATTGTATGCATTCATGCAGTAAAAACTTTGAAACCTGACTTACTATATTTGTCATAACACTTTCTCATATTTTTTATGAAAACATTTATCTGTCATTTTACTCTTACTATGTTTTTTCAATGAAATTTTGAAAAGTATATGTTTCCCAATGGAATGCATGATGCTGTTTAGTAACAAACATTAGAACAGTGTTTGAACATACATTTGAGAACACCTTAGTAGCCTGAATAGAGGATTCTTTTCTGGAACCTCTTTTTCTCATTTGCAGGGAAACCCCCTCTCAGACTTGTGCGAGAATGTCGTGAGTTAGTTCATTAGGATAACAAATTTTAAAAATGGATTTGAAGGAACGTAATACTTGAAATGGTTTTTCTTATAAAATCATGCATAATTCAGTTACAGTAAATCAATATTAGCAATAATGAATCACAAACAAGAGTAATACACGACACAAATTTAAAAATTAAACATAATAAAATATAGTCATATGTCAGCAAAAGGCAAAGATGTTTTTAAAAGATCAAGCATATTTCTAACGTGTAAGTGAAAATGTCACCTTGTGTAATTTAAAAATAAAATATATAAATTGCTAATAAGTACTTGACAACACAAAAAAAGAATGATGGACTGCTACACTGATTATATATATCATTGTGAAACTTATAAGGCAAAGTGGGAACAATAGACGAGGGAAACAAATTATCCCTTAAATCCAGAATCAATTAAATATATTAAACTTGTGAATTTTATATTTTAAAACAATTTTTAATAATACACATAAATGAAAATTCTAATTTCTGAAAGTCTGAGCCTTTAATTATACACGTTCATTGTATAATTACAGTGTTCAGTGTATACAGTGTTCAAAATATTAATAATCTTGATGCAATGATAAGTTCCTTAGTTAATAAACCCGAATATTATACATAACATGTTCAAAGAATATGTGGACTGTTTCAATTGCCCATCTCCAGTCAATCCCAAAATAATTCGCTTGATGTTGCTGGGTTTGCTTAGATCTGCTGATTATGAAACAGTTTTCTGATTAATACCTTAATTCGTTTATTAGCTATGTAGTTTTTAGTGAAGTGGGATTTTTCGTTTGGTGGATTACAAAATGAATGACCTGAAAAGAGCAACAGGTTTCTGTGATATTTTGGGTTAAACTAGGAAACTGAGACAAAATTTTGCAATGCTTAACATGGCTTATGGAGATGTTGCAATGAAACGTACAGCATGGTTCAAGTGGCATTAACGTATTAAAGATGGTCAACAGTCAGTTGATGAGAGTCATGGACGTCCTTCCACGCAAACTGATGACCCACATGTCGACAAATTCAACATTCTGGTGCAGGAAAATTGTCGTCAGACTGTCCGGGAACTTTCTGAAGAGTGTGGGATATTGTGGGTGTGTGTATAAAAAAATAGAATACATATAATTTCTCTTCAGAATGTAAGTACTGGTTGTCCTGGGAGGAAACGTCAAAACTTCACAAATAAGCTCTTACGACAACTTTTAAGCTTACTTTGAGTAAATAATAAACTACTGGGATATTCCGAATGGTTGAGCCGCAAAAAGCACTCAAAAGTTGATTTAAAAAAAATGATTTCTAGGTAAAACTTTGCATTGCGGAAACATGTTATTGTTTATTATTTACAAAAGAAATGAATATTTATTCCAAAAGAAAAATTAACCGAGAAATAAAAAATGCACTTAATTGATATACCATATATACTAGAATATAATACGCACTCTTAATTATCGAGTAAAGGGAACAAAAAAATTTAACATTTTCTCCCACTTTTATTGAAAAAACTTTTGTACTCGAAATGCTAGCAAAACAAACCCGGGTTAGAGTGTGATTTTTATAAAGTTGCGCCTCAAGGCTCGTCGTCACAGTGGCATCAGATCACATTATTGTCAATAGCAATTTCCCATCTAGTGCAGGTAAAGTGATAAGTCTCCATCACAAATCACTATCCTGGACTAATTTCATTGCATGAAAACACAAAATTGGCACTTGGATCTACATTTGAGTTCAATAAAAAAACTACATACTTTTCACCTATATGAAGCTACAAACTGGGACTGTAATTTTAATTAACATCTACAGAAAACTGAGAACGCATTAGAACTATTGATTAGTAACACTAAAAATATGGTTTAAAAAATTGGTAAGTCAAACTAATTAAGCCAAAAAGGTTTTATATTTAAATTACAAAAGGATACTTAAAGTGTTTGCTTAGAAAAGCCAAAACCATACACGAGCAAAAACATATTCAACCCAGACTCAAAAAATATGGAAACATGTTGATAAAATAAATCAAAAGAAAAAAAAAAGGTTATAAAATTAATTATATGTTAAATAATTGTGTAATGATATGTGCTGATATGTGCACAGCTAATTATTTTAATGACTTTAGTTCTGTGATATTTGTGCTCTACTCCTCTTTAACAGCATGAAATTCCTTGTGCTTCCTTGTAATTAACATACACTATTTCTTAGTCCATAAAATAAAGAATAATTTATGGAAACTAAGCTGGAGGAAAGGGTCATGGATTAAAAAAAAACAGCGGGAGGAAGTGATATCAATGCTTTCTATGTTAAATTAGTAGTGACATACAGATGTCCTATACTATCAAACATAACACAAAGGTATAAGAATTATGTCCCAGACAATTTAAAACATGACCTAAGTCCATTTCGTAAAGATGGATCGAAGAGTCTGGTCAATATCTATCTACCGACTTCACTTTCCACTTGGAAACAAAATTTTCACAATGAGGTCTCGTAAAAATGTCAAAACAAAGAGTAATAACTGTCATATTGCATCATCAAGTTTCTTTTTCAGTTTCCTTAATAAAACAGCATTGATATAAGGTACACTTACAACTGACCAGTAAAATTATGATCAGTGCTCTGCATTTTAAACTAAATAGAGGCTTAAGGATTTGGGATATGCTAACAGACATAAAACAGCAAATCCGCTAGAGATATGACCCTTGATAGTCATTGCACAATGTTCCTGGTGCTGCCAATGCAACAGTTCACCTATGTAGAGGTCTTGACGAAAAACACCTTAAACTATTTTTAATACTCCATAGCACTCCAAATTTTGGATATATGTGTTTAGCATGATCTACCAACTGGCAAAATTTCATGAGAATCCGAATATCCAGCATGGTGAGTTGGATGTTAAGCAATGTTAACAAAGAACGAATTAGAAGAGGGAGATAACCTAGATACTTGTCTTGGGCTAGCCACATCGATTCTAGATTTCAGAACCTTTGTGAAGATATTGATTGGCTATAAATATAGTTAAATGATGAGGGATTTGAATGTAAGTGTCAGCAGAAGTAATACTTAATCTACCTTACAACAGAATGATTCAGAGGACGAACAGTTTTAGCACTAAAAAATCACATCTGCAACTTCATGAATTTAAGGAAAATTGAACTGATGTACAAAAAATGATTTAAAATTTAAAAAATAGACTACTTGTTGCAAGCACTGATATACGTAACAGTAACATGACACTAAACACACAATGTAATTCGTTAAATACAAGTGTCCAGCAAACCATGGTTTTCAAATATCCATATGACACACACTCCCTGGATAATCAAGGATCTACGGTAGCCCTACATATGCATCTTTAATATAATGGACAGCTGTGCCATGAGATAGTTGTTGCATTTTCATGTGCTTACTGGCAGCACGTATGACTGGGTTAGAGTGTAGAAGAAAAGGAGAGCTGATTCTAATTTATTTCCACAATTGGTGGAATCATCTGAACTAAGGCACAGCAATACTGTTGGGTTAATTGACTGGGATGATTGCACATTGTAACACAATTATGATGCGATTGATTTTCATTTCCCAAATTTATTTAAGTGCGAATGAATATTGAATTTGAAACTGCCATGAGGGTCCCAAGACTAGATTACTTTGGAAATATCAATTTTAATCAAGAGTTACAACGCAATAATAATGTAATATGTACTATTAATATTTTATTTCCTACAAAATTTAAATAATGTATAATAAAAGCACAAAGCATACTAAAACAAAACCTTTTATGTGCAATGGCCAAGCTAAAGGAAAACTTCTAGTTCATGTTTCTTATTCATTATTTACTTCTAGTTCAGCCTAGTGCCTCTGCCAGCAGGTACTTTCACATTTACAATATGTATATGTGCTCAAGTTCACATTAAATATAAATTTTTAAAATAAAGCTGCCTGGCTCATTTATCCTCCTCAAAGGGTCGTATTTACTTAACCGCTACCATGGGACTGCCCGGAATAGCAGGATCCTAGAGTTCAATTTTGTGATTTATGAACGGCCCCCAGCAGTAGCACTCAGCTGGCAGTGGCTGCAAGCAGTCCCCCCCTGCCTGATTTACTTGTGTTTCTATCCCTCCATGCATCATTCTGTTGAAGTATATCTCTTAACACAGACTTTGCTTGATTTTTTGTACACACTTCTTGACTCATGGCAACCGAGCGTATATTTTTGAGTACTCTTATCGGGTATATTACAAATTATTGCTTACTTTTAGGACTTCTTTTTTATACACCACAACATAACCTTTCGGGCACATCACCTGTCTCTTCTGTTTGGTATAATGCCATGAGCGGCACCACAAGCTATCAGATGTTACAGTGCAGTACAGTACAGCATGAGAGGTATACATGAGGTACAGCACGAGCACTTACATACAAGGTATGAGATTAATTTTAACTCTTGTGAAAATTTGAAGCGGTAAATTCTATTTCACTTTGGCAAATGAGTGCATGACTATGATTTTATGAATAAATAATGATGTTAAACTTGATTTGCAGTAAGCTCACAAGCATCCTGAATGCCTCATTGCAAGAAATTATTTACTTATATGCAGGTTCTGCAGTTCATTGGTATTGTTAGACTTTTATTTACAGTTTGCAAAGGTTAATTCCGGCTCTACAGAAACCATTCAGAAATGTGTATCTATCGACTTAAATCACAGAAATATGGTATTGGAAGTTACATTTAGCTTTTTTTCCCCTTCCTTATTTCACAGAGTTAATAGCAGTCAACAGGGTTTATTTTGGTCTGATCTTTTAATTCAAAATCAGGACTAATTTTGTTTGTTTTACCGTAAATACAGAACTGTCCATGCAAATACAATTTTACACAACTGTAAAAGTCATGCTCTTGTTCTTAGCGTTATTTGGAACAAAAGCAATTCTTTGTCACAGTGTGTAACGGAGGGTTAATGAAATGTGTTTATCAAAAAGATTTTCAAGGAAGGTCATGCTCAATTTTTTCGAAAATATGAGTACTTTTCTGGAGTAATTGAGCGTCAAAATTAGTTCCCTGCTGTAAAAATCCTGCATTCTTAATCGTAATTTTAGTTGTTTTAAGGCAGCTGGATGCTATGGAAGTTAGAATTTATAAATTGTGTCCTTCAACATTTACAGGAAAAGAACAGTGCAAACGGAAAGTTTGAAACCCACGTTTACTTGAACAAACAGAAGCTTCAATTACACCAGTAGTATATCCAATAGTTTGATCGTTCAAACAAACTGGTGTTGATCACATTTTTTGATGTCATTTTTCTTTTTTCAAAAACCTTTTAAGAGCATTTTATTGATCATTTTTGGTGCACAAAATCCAACCCCCTAATTACATAAAGTGTGATAAAAATATATAGCGTTTTTCAGTTGAGAAGAATGACTTAACACAAGAAACATCTTCAAAATGTAACAACCTGAATTCCATGATGTACCAATATATACAACAATGCTGGTATAAATTTATTCATATGAACTGTTTATGATCAATTAGAGTAATATGGCCTCCTCTTATCTATGCTCAATGAACAGTTCAACATAAACAGTCATATTCATGAACAAATGAAAATGGCTGGTTATAACAATATTTAATACAAAACTTACTTTAGAAGGATGAATTCCAACATAAACACTGGCTCCATTGGCTTTTTCACGCTGTATTCTCTCAATGTATATAACAAACTTTTTTCGGTATACTTGAACAACCTTGCCTACTTGTTGTCCCTTGTAATGCCCCCGAACGACCTGGAAACACAATGTCAACAGCATTAATGGTTGGTAATTATAAATGGACAAAGCAATCACAATTGTGTATAAACTGACCTGCACTTCATCATCTTTACGAATGGGGATCGTGCGGACATTATACTTTTGTCGAAGTTCTTTAGACAAAGGTGCAGACATCAATCGACGTCGAATGTGAGAAGGTGCTGTAAAATGCCTCTTCCTGTTCTTTCGTCGAGATGAAGTTACATGCTTATTGAGCTTCATTTTTGGAGCTGTAAAATAAGGAAAGCTTCAGATATCCAAATTAATTCATTACATTGTATAAAATACTCCAACACCGAAAAGAAACACTATGAATGTGCAAAAATATGAAGGTAAAACAAAGTTGAAAAATTCACCGAAACACTTTATGGGTAAAAAAGGAAATGCCCCATAGAACGAACATAACTTAATTAAATTCTTTAAAATTCGAAAACTCATCTCAATCTTTACCCACTCAAGTTCAGAAAGCATTACGATGATTGGACTAGACACGTGGAGCCTTCACGTACGGGGGAACAGTGTTTGCATTCTAATTACTGGTACCAGGATAACTATTCAACTCTTATATTACAATGCTATGAAATCGATTAGATAATTTACGAAGTATGTAACACATGTTAAAACAATAAAAATCGGTCAATTACTTACCACAAATGTAATGGCTTCCGCAACGCTAAGCCTTCAGGCCTTCTTCCAAGGTGCCCAAATGGCAAAGAAACTCTATCAATGCTAAAAGCATAGAGAATGCAGTCAGCCGCAGGGAGTAAAGAGATGATCGGATGTTTCATGATCTACCGTATGAGGGGGTTGTTTGTGATATTTGCTAGATTAGTTTAAGATAGATACAGATATGTCAAGGAATTTTAGTTGAAGTAAGTTACCGTCATTGCATTGTCACAACGCATTTTAATTGTTTAAATAGCAATACATGAAAATAAGAATGTAATTAGTTGAATTGTAGTTTATTTACTGGTTATATAAAGTGAGACGTGTCAATCTTTACGATCAGTAATGTTTACAGTTTATAATCCTTCGTGAAGGATGGCAGTGACAAGTATTCTAATAATATATGGCCCACTAACAACAATGATCAAATTCGAGATGAAAAGGGAAAGTTACCACCCTGGTGTTCACACAAGAATTCTAATTATTTGTAGCATCTTATTAAGTATATATCAGTATCTGTCACATGTCACAGGAGAATAGTCAAATTTAAACGAAAATAACAGATCACTGGGATTTTTACGAAGTGGATATAACGTACAATATTCGTATCGCAACATCTTGTTACAACACTCGATTGATTTTACAACTGGGCTTCCTTTGATAATTCTCAAATCTCGGGTTGTAATAAGATTATAAATTTTGTTTTTTAAATTACAAAAACAAATTAACTTGGAAAATATTAAAGATACTCCTTCCAAAATTGAACAATATGAGGGGAAAATATTTGATACAGTATTTAGCAGTGGACTACACTACAATAAAACTTGATGACATTATGTAGCTAAAATATTTTCTGAAGCGAATTTTTGTATTCTTTGAAACAACACTGCCTCAGGAGAGGAAATTTTGTAAATTTTATTGTTAAATAAAACATAATTCTTGTATCATGGAATTTATTTTTATATTACTTATTTACATAAACTTTATATTTGCATTTTTTTATCTGAATCACTAACTTAGAAATTTACATATAGTAAACAATGTTAAAAGAAATCATGTTTAGCAATTCCTATCATTTTGATTTGATTGATTTTTTATCCAATTGTCCTTCACCTACAGAGAAATTGCTATGATGGTCTCTTGCATACTTTGGGGCCAAAATAAAACTTTTATGCCAACTCTAAATTTCAAATAGTTTTTCTTGTTGTTGTTGTTTTTGATTTCAACAAATGAATAAATAAAAATCATAAATCTATATTTTATTTGCATTATCTACATACCAAAAATTAAATAAGAAGTTTATTAAAACTGACATCAATTTTATTTTGAGTTATGGTTATTTGAGTAATGATTGACAAAATTCATTATTGGTTTAGGTCTATATTATTGTATGCTTAACCTAGCAATGGAAGAGTGAAAAAATGAAACAGGTCTGACATTATATAGAAAATGTTTTGTTTATTATATTTTGTTTATATCATTGTTAGAGGACTTCATTATGTTAGTTTAATGTATAAGAAAACATTTTGGTTAATATATTTTGTTTTTATTATTATCAAAAAATATTTGGTAAATTTACGGAGCACAAATACCAATACAATCCACGTCATTCCATTGGAAGTTTGTCTCATTTCTGAAATTACAGTTCAGTTTGACTTTAGTTATATGTAATACTACACAAAAATAACATATTATCTATATTGCAATAATAGACCATTCCAAAAATAAAAATACGCATCTTCTCGATTAGTTACACGAACGGATGGGTTGGGTCTGAGACAAAGCACAAAATAAATTACGCATATAATCACGTTCACAACCTATACAGCAACAACTGTAACCTTTGATAATACAAGAAAGATAGAGAGATGAACAGACTGCTAGTGCTATCAGTATGTGATCGGCTGAAGTTTTTGTTACCTCATTTTCGTTCCTCTACAGACCCGACCCATCCTTTAAGTATTGAGAATTTCCCCAACCAGAATGACGAAGGCTTGTGGGTCTGTCCGCATTTTATCGTTGATATTCTACCGAATACATCTTCATTCACAGCACTTAAGTTCTTTCGTTCATCCATTGCAAAAAGGTAATTTGTGAATGGATGCATTGCTGTCTGTGCTGTCGTCACAATATCCTTCGCGATATTCGTATCCATTTGTTCCCCCATTCTAATTGCGCGCATTTGAGAATCGTACTAACAATACTTTTCTTAGCAACAGTAATGCCAACTTCGAAAATAATCAATACAATACTTTAAGAAATAAAATCACTCCAATCAGTCATTTTTCGGTACTATTTACGAGTAAAATCTTCCAATTAGAAGTGAGCACAAAAAAAGTTGTTTGCACCTCGGCCAAAAAGTAAAATTTTTCAGACTCGCATTTTTAACCAAATCAGCTCTTCAGAGAAACGTTTACTTTTTGGCCTTAGTACATAAACATTTTGTGTTGCGGAAGCAAATACGAAGTAGTATAATAAAAATGTGTCGCATGGACTGCACCCAGTTTATGTGGCAATGAAGAATTGATGTACACTAATTGAAGGAAACACATTCTATATAATTTAAAGTAAATTATTTTTAAGATAATATGTTCCTGACATCATTATATGACATAAAAAATCACAAAATTAAAATTAATTGAATTTTAATCATATTTGGAACGAAATCCTATCGAATTTTCAAATATAACGAAACAATTCCTACCATCAGTGTTACCAATATAGTTTTGTTATTGCCAACGCTCCGCATTTTAATTTACCTCTCAAATCTGATCCATTGCAGTATTTCAACGCCTTCTTCCCATACAGATGATTTGTGCACGTACGAATTGTAGGTATATTCGCATCAGGAGGTTTTCAAGGCGACACTGCCAGTAACAGTGGAAACAAACCACTGTTGATTTAGAAGGCCATGCGAATAATGCTTGCAATTTACGTAGTGTATTAGTTAAATTGACGTGAAGAATTAATAAGGGTTAAAATAATATTTTGAATAGAATTTTCAAAACTAGAAAACACCAGCTAAGGAATTCTATTTGTTCTACCACAACACTAAATATTATTTATAGGTACCAATCTGGGAATGTAGGCGGACTTGTAAATTGGCGCTGGTATCTAACATGGGGTCGATTGTGTTAAGAAGTTTATCTGTGTTATTGGGGATATTTTTTATATTTGTGGGTATAATGAAAATAACATCATTACTCAGTAAGGATCTTCATAAAGATTTGGTAAGTATAAATTTGTTCGCCACTTTTTACATTTGTTTGAACTGATTTCAATACAGTAGTATCGCTTTGCCCCTGTATTTGAGGCAACCCAACAAACACTTATGAAATGCCGTCCACCTAACTAACAGGCGTACCATAGAAATTTGAAACGATCATACGGGAGAAAGCGCGCGATGATAACGTAACCCATCATTCTGACGCAAAAATGTACACGGTGTACTTATTTAACTTTCTTATACTGTCCTGGCAAACTGCCTTGGCTTGCGGACAGCAGACCTGCAAAACTAAAATCCGAGCCAAAGAGGAATTACGAGTTATTTTTATGCACGCTAAATTTATTTTGATAAAATTCCATAAGTGACCACACTCATACTTTTCTTCTGAATAACAATAACAGGATTTATAGGGTACTAACTATTCCGAATTTGACACGATTTTGTCACTTTATTGGAATAAGCTGTTTTGACAGAATTCTTTTTTTTCCTTATTTCATACTAAGTCACAAATAACATGATTTTTTCTTTGCTGAGTTATTTAGAACACAAAAATGCTTTATTTCATTATTTTAATTAACTTTTCCTTGATCAATGTAACATGCTTGTCAACAAGTTGTAAAATAGTCTATTTGTAATTTGTTTTGCAAAACACTATTTGTGTGTTTGTATTTCTGTACAAGAGAATGAAATCTCATTACTACAATGAATCTAGAAATTAAAGCAGAATACAAAATAGTGTCCAACTGTTGCAGTTTTAATATGATGTAATATTAGCTGTCTTACTTTTATGTTTCAGAGGAAGGAATATGTTAAATATGCTAAAGTGTTTCCATTTACTGAAATGTTGGATTTTAAAATACCTTCTAAATGGTACCGTCGAGTTGTTGGCTCTCTAGAAATCATTTGTGGTTTGGCTATGGCTTTTATTCCAAGCAGTAAGTGCATAAATTCACTGCAAATTATTGATATGTAATGACACATTTGCTGACTATTTCTTTATATTTTTAGATTCAATAAAACAAGGGGCAAATATTGTTCTACTCTTAATGATGATGATGGCTGTGTATTCACATTACATGGTTAATGATAAATTTGAGAGAACTGCTCCAGCCCTGGTAAGTATTTTAAGAAACAATGATTCAAATATGAAAAAGAAAAAATGAACCAAAATGTTATTACATTTTTTGCAGGTATTTTTCTTCATGTTGACGGGAAGACTAGTCATTGATTGGCAGCTACGGCGAAAAGCAACAGCAGAAGTACAGGCTGTAAATGGAGAAAAGAAATCAAATTGAGCATCTTTTTATATTTAAAAAAGCCACTTTTGCTTTATTATGAGTTGTTTTAAAATGAACCAAAGTGAGAGCCAAATCAAGGAATGTGTCACAATACCATGGTCCCATAAACTCTATCTTTCTTTTACATCAGGAGTATACTCTTACTATAGTAACCACCCAAAAAGAATGTATGTAAGCACAAACTTCATTGATAAAGATTGAAATGGCACCTGCCTAAAAACTAGATCTTCCTTAATGCATAGTTCATTAACTTTTGTCTAACCATGCAAGGAAAGAGGTGTGTTGAATCAATGATATGACTCCTTACTTAATTTTCTATGAAGATCCAATACTTCATTTATAAAGAATTTAAGATGTCTCCTGAGATACTCACTTTCTCTGCAGCTCTGAATGATGAAAGTCCAAGCTGTACAACCACATTCTTCAAATGTATAATAAAAATTTCAAGTAGCATTCTTTGAGGTTACATATTTTATACCTAAGATAGATTAGTAATTTAAAAATTAAGACCAGAGATACCAAAGATTTTAAATATCAATGGGTAGTTTTCAAAGCTTCAGTGTGATCTGTCCCATTCTGTTCACTAAAGTATTTATTATTTGCTATTTAATCCCTTGCAAATACTACATGGATTCTTAATAGATATTCCAGTGACTCTTTTAGTTATTTATATCATACTTCCTTCAAGATTTACACGTATTATTAATTTATACTTAGGAAAATCTACCAATTTTAATGTTACTACATATACTCTCTTTGTGATGCACATCGTTTCCAATCACATTTTGTGCATTAAGCAAACTTATAACTATCAAGCAGTGAAAAGTAGAAACCTGTGACTACCCATAAGCTCCTTGGTGAAATTCCCCAATAAGTATTTAAATAGAGAGTACGTCATATTACATTTGAAATATGTAATAGAAAAGGCACCACTATAGGATTTCAATATAATGATATTATATTCATTTTAATTTACTGGCATATTGCATGGGTATACTGATATTCAGTTAGCGTAAGGCTAGTTTCACTGCCAAATGCAAAACCAGTTTTCTGAGTGTATAAAATATATGCAAACATACATTATGTCCAGCTCTAATTTTGTATGTATTATACAGTGAAAGAAAAATGGAATATATTTTACAAGATAATTGTCTCAGAGAATCACTTTTGTTTGTGATCCGGGAACATGATTAAAGAACATGAATCATCGCTACATTCTATATTAATATGGTCTGGTAATTTTATGCTCAAAGTATCAATGCATTATCAAACATTTTTTACTAATTTTCAAAGAATGTCACTTATTCTCTCTGATAAAAGAAACAGTATAAAATAAATGCCACAGATCTCTTTAAAATACAAATTAGCAATGCTTCAGAATTTCTGGATGTACATTAAAAATAGTTACATTTTATGGAATGGTACTGCACAGAATGTCCTAAGATTTATTATCACATGGAAGTACATTTTTTTGTAGAAACAAATGCTGTCACTTATTAAAAATTATTATTTGAATATAATCCAAAAGATTATGTAGTTTTTTTATGATGGCAATAATTTCTTGGGACTTTCTGAATGGTGTTAACAAAATTTTAACAATAACATATCAGGCTAAAAATATAAACAAAAGCAGAATGTAATGTTTATTAGTTAACAGGAACATTTCACAAATGTGTAATTTATTTAAATCCAGATATCTTGGGTAAGAAGATATTCATTACAAGAATACACAAACTAGTACATTAATTGACAAGTTTGCAATCTATTTCCATTCCTATTTTGTTTAATGTTTTGCAAGCATAATCATTCAAATTGTGGATTCGCATAATCAAAATAAAATGTTTCAATTGAAGTCAAACCTGTCATCATTATTTGTTAAATAATCTAGTCATTCATTGTAAAAACATTTGTGTAGGATCAATATTTTTAAAAATGCCTTTTTTTATTGTAAAAGATATACTTAAGTTCAATGTTACATATGCACAAAGCGTATTAGTAAATAATTTTGTGAAGCCTTGCAAATGCAATATTTTTTTATTCCAAGAATGTATTACATTCCTTAAATTTTTAATAATGTGGAATATTTGAAATGATTGAATAATTTTAAAGATATCAGTAAAAAAGTAAATTGTGAAGGAGTAGAAGGCAGATTTGGGAATTTTTAGTTATGTCTCATATTTACATTATTCACATAGGCACTTCCTCACAGGGTAAAGCATGTAAGGTAATTCAGTTCTATTCAATTGAGAATGTTCTTGAGACAGTTCATGAACAGTTCATTAAGATAAAAAAATAATTTCTACAATTTTTTTCAGAGAAATTTTCTGCCATACCTCATGATTTCTCAACACTCATTTGCAAAGGAATTGCTGATGAAATTACATGAAAGTTTACAATACAGGATAACAAAGTTTTCATATTTTGCTACAGCAAAAAGTTAGGTTAAATCTTCACTATGCAGTAATTTACAATCACAAAAAACATTTTGCAAATTTTCCTTGAGGAATATAAATGATGTCAATTGTAGTGGAAAAAATTTTGCATCTTTATTAAAAAAGTCAATATTTATCATTTTTAATAATGTGTATTAATAATATATATACAGATTATATATTAAATACTGACATAATTAAACACTTTAATATATTTATATATTACAGAAACAATTTCACACAAGAGGAGACAGTGGATGGGTGGTGGAAAAGCAATACAAACGTCATTATGTCAGGTCCTAATTTTTTATAATGAGTTCATGGCTATTTGTAATTTATTTCATATTAATCACATTGATGCATGCCTGGAATTAACAGAACTCTTGCTTGACTTTTTAAACATGTTTCATCAGTCTATATGACTGTAAGATAACATATTCTTAAAAGCACTTGAGCTGTTAGGAATAATGATATAACACTTTACAGTATTTTGAAATTTTGTCTGAAAATTGACTCTTGCCATTTTGACAGCCTTATTAAAATAAATATCAGAAATTAAATATATAAAAGACCTGAAATTGTCTTAGAAGGCAGAGTATAACTTACCACAGAATTTTATTATATTTTTACAATAATAAAATACAAAAGGTAAGTAAAATATTTTTATTTAAAATTGTAGCTCTACTTAATACATATACACATACAAAATTAACAAAACAAGGAATATAAAAAAAAATCCTGATATCATGTTCAGTTTTTGTGATTAGGCATTTAGAGAATACATTAATTCTGCAAAGTTATACTTAGATATTATTTACAAAGTAATGAAAATGTTTTTCCAATCAACTGGAAATACAAGTTTCATAAAATAATACATATTTTTCAGTTGATTATATGAATAATATTGGTTTTAAGTGAGGAAGGTGATTATTCCCAGTGATCTATTCAAGTCAGGAAAGCTGTAAAAGCAAATCAAAGCATCCTAGTTAAGAATCTAATAAAACAAAATATTTTTGTACTAAATAGCAAATTTAATGCAAAAATGGGCAAGCATAAACCAAGTTCTCCTAAAACGAGTTTTTTTATTGGTAAACAATGAACATATTGAAATAATGGAAAATGCAATCCAATGCATTTTATAAGAGAAAACTCTTGCTTCAAGTCATTGTTTTTCAGATTTACAATAATGTAACTGTAACATGCAAAACAATTATACATACATTAGATTCAAGATTTCATTCTATATTTTCTGATGGAACAATGGAATTCTTATACAACGATTTGCATTCACATTTACATTCACCAGCTAATAAACAGTAAAACTTCAAAATCTCTATAAGATACATTCGCCCTTTTATTAACAAATAAAATGTCTAGGGGAGTCTTAAATCTGACACTAGTTATTTACCACCACTTCCTGAAATGGAGAAGAAGAGTGCACAATTTAGGCAAAATCTAAAATTTCAATAGGTCCCCCCCCCCCCAGAAAAACTTTAATTTTGATGTAAGTGAAGGAATACTGGTATCAAGAACAAATTCCAAAATTAGTTAAAATAAGTGAAAATAATAGCATGTATTTATTTGTAGCATTGGTACTTAAAATCCTGGCAACTATAAATTCTGTTGTAAGTAAAAATGACATCAGCAGAAAATTCAATTATGAACTTAAAGTCAGTTACAAATCCAACCCTTTTCTTCACTTTTCTTTCAAAATGTGCACATGGGATATAACATGTTGAGTTAAGTTTGTGAAAAATATTAGATCACATGAGTGATACACGCCTTCTAAATTAATTAATTGTATTAATGCTAGTAGGTTATTCACTTCTTTTCGTGACATACATGTTCCATTCAATTTTGTTCAAAATAATTACTTTCTTCTACATTAATTGACCAAGCAGCACTGCCTATTCCTAAATTTGAGAATGCTATTTATTGTCTATATTGTTCATCTGCAAATATGAAATGTATGCTAACTTTATTTTTAATTCCTCTAAAAATCTTGAAAATTGAACAAAAATACATGGGATCATGTAAGTGAAAGTAATTAACATAACTTATCCGCATTTTATTTCATAGAGTCTAAACCACAACTGGTCCTTCGGCTAACATAACTTCCTTTATATAAATTCCTCAAAAATCTTTTCAGCAAGTTTTCAAGACACCCTGATTTAAAGGAAAGTAATGTAGGACATTATTTATGAGGTTTTTTTTTATCAGTGACACACAATTAGTAACACAATTTCTTTTACTTTGTATTTCCACTAGTGGATGTAAAAGGTCCACCCATTCAACAATTTTCTGGAGAGTTTCGAGTACAGATAAAAGTGTTCATTATGAGCAATGCTAAGATGTATGGAATAAAATACCTAAATCTGTACATACATTTGGACTAAAATGATCAAAATATAGACTACCAATTGAATAGAATGATTCAAGAAGTGAAAATAATGTTCAATAGAATGTTAATAATATGAAAAAAGAATGGTAAAAAACTTATTTTTGATATTAGCAATAGCGTGAGATTTAATATTGTACTAAAAGAACTGAATTTCATTGCGTTGCTGAAAGAAAGTTCCTTTATTTCTTTTAATTGCCCACTGTTTTAAATGTTCAAATGTAAATACTGCCCTTTCAATTTTTTTTAATAAACTATTTATTTAAAGTCATTCATGTTTATATATTATTTTTATTAATAACCTGTTATGGTACAAGATTCCGAGACACTGCATCGCCTCATGGTCAGGTACATCTTGAAATATACAAGAGAACTGAAGATAATTCTTATCTTAATTGACAATTATATACATAATCTCACACTCAGCACTAGTGAACATCCTGTATTATCAGGACAAGTGGAAAGTAGTTTCACAACTTTTATCAACATGAATGACTTGTTTGTTTCACAACTTTCTACTAATCTATTTTCTGCTGAAAACAAATTATTTCTCAAAAAAATATTCTGATTTTGAGATTCTTGTGAATGCATGAAACATTATTTTCAAGACTAGTACTTGACAACTGTAAAAGAAACACTATCATTTTACCTCTGTTCCAATTTTTTGACACATCTTCATTCTCAGGAAGTGTGTAAGTAAATTATGCAATTTCTTTTTTGAACTTTAGGGTAAGAAACATCTTTCATTTAAAATTTATTTTTTTGTTACAAATTCTAAATGAACACAATAGGAAATTATTTTTAAATAGACAGAAACTAAATGGAACAGTTTGCAAGTTAAAAAAAAGAGTAAACATTACTAGAACTTAAAAAAAAAAAATTAAAGAGAGAATGGATCTTTTGCAAATTTCTTTTACCTTAAAACTGACACATATATACATTCTATCTTTACTGACAATCGACATAACACTTTAAGTATCAAGAAATTTTATTTTCATAGCAGATGAAATAGGCAGCAATTGGGAACTAAATCATAGATATGAATAAAGAAGAAAAGCATTGTAGAAGTACACCATGAATTAAAAGAAGTGAACTCAATCATGAATGCAAGAAAGCAACAGTTCAGTCATGGAGTACAATAAGTTAGGGAAATGATAATTCCTTAATGATTAAAATATTAAAATAATATCTTACCTTCAGTGGTAATAGGTATTTCAAACAAAGTTCACGAGCACAAAAATCTTTTAAGCATCAACTCCTGTTTTCAATAATTTCATTGCTTTTTCTAAATAATTTACAGCTGTTGCTACATCATCATAATTTAAGGCACTTGCTGCATATTTACAATATTTTTGTGCTTTTGTAATCTGTTCAGGTTTCAAAACTACAGAAGAACCTGGATGATTAAAATATACATGAAACTATTGAGATTAAGTAAATTGAATATAAAAAGTTGTTTGACAAATAAATGAGACATTTATAAACACAATAATAGCACTTTAGTGCTTATCTGATTCATAGCACTTAATACATTCAATATCACAGCATTGAGTGTTTTAACATATTTAATGTCATTGCATTTAAAGGAATTAAAATGACAATTTCTGCGCAAATTTCTTAAAAAATACAGCTATTATCTTTATTTAATTAAAATATTCTCAAAGTTACCTTCTGGGTAGGAATTGCTCCCTGGAATTGCAATATTCGGAGAACTAAATCCAGAATTCAGATCTGCCAAATCAGTTGGAACTCCTCCACTAGGTGTTGAAGGGTATCCCGATGGAGGGAAGTACGGACTAGCACCAGGAGTAGGACTTGATGGCTCATTTGGAGAGGCAGAAGGTGGTGGCATGTAAGGTGAAGGCTGATCAGGTGGAGGAGAATAAAAACCTATGGGACACAATAAATACAAATCAGCGCACAAGAACACAAATATTAACCTAAAGCTCCTATTTACATACCTATGATTTTGAAATCTCCCCACCCCTATGTACCATTAGAATATTAATGGCACTATATTTTCTCTAAAATGAAGATCAGAATAAACATTAGCAACTCTTCTTCTTTATCATTGCCAACAGTTTGAAGTAAACTGTACTGTATGAAAGCATGATAATAAACATATCAGAGCAAAAGTACTACACCCCGGCTACAAACAAAAATATTTTGTTCAGAATGAAATTTCTAACTCTAAAACAAGAGGAAACAGAAGGCAATAAAAGAGATGGAATGAAGCTGGAATGTGTGAAATATTTCATCCATAAAGTTGATAATGATTCTTGCAATGAAATAGCTTTCTGTGAAATCAAGAGCATCTGCCTAAAATTACTATAATTTCTATTTGCAATGGAATGTTGCCAAATGCATCTCTTGCAATATTAAAAAAATATAATAGACAAATTGGAATGTTAAAAGCGCACCAAGGTTCAAGGCAAATTAGGCAAAATTCCAAATAGCCATTTTTACTGGTCTTTGAGTTTTTGAAATACAGTTTTCTCAGCTGAATGATGAATTGCCTTTGAATTGCTCTTGAGGAGGTGAATTGCATTTCCCCTCCTCCCCCATATTCAAATATGTTTTAGCTGGTAAATAAAAGTGCAGATCTAATGAATCACTGATTACATTGACATACTTCTTAGCATCAGCATTTGAGCATTGTTTTGGAACTTCAAGTATCGAATTTGTTTAGACTGCCTCATTATTTAACATCATTAAATTAAAATAATACATTGTCAAAAATTGTAAATGATTAAAAAACCCCACCTAATGGGTTTGAGCTCCCAGCTCCACCTTCAAGTGTATTCCCTCCAACAGCTCCCAGTTCATCATCTTCAGGATTATTTTCATCTTGTATTGGGCCAGGAATAGGAGTTTCACCATTTTTTAGACAATTATGAATATAAGCTGCTTTCCATTTGGCGTATTTGCGATTTTGCATTATTTCTTCAGTCAATTCACCAAATGTTTGCAAAACATCAAAAAGCATTCCTGAAGTGTAAAACGCTTTGACAACATTCCTGCAATTATGGACCACAGGAATGCATAAAATAGAACCTATAACACTGAATGTTATACAACAAAACAAATTAAATTAGGAAGACATATCAACCCACTTTCCAAAATTAGAAGCTCTGTCTTGAGTGTCAGCATACACAAATAGTTTTAAGGCATAATTTTCAATATGTGCTTGAGCAGCTATATCATTAGTAATAGATTCATTATCAGCCAGAGCTTGTTTCTGAGTTTCCAACCAGTCCATTAACCGCACCAAAAGAACTTTTGCTTCATCTGATTTCTTGTCAATTTTCAGGGCACATTGTAAAGCATACAGGCGACCTGCAACCTTACATAATGTCAAGCAAAATAACATTTACAAATTAAAAATTGTAAAAAATTAAAAAAATCACTACTTTAAAGGTTTTAAATAGTTGTTGACAGTAAGTGCAATTCGGCGTAAAAAAGCACTTTCACAAACAAATGGAAGGAAATACAAAAGATAAAAATACGTACACCAGTAACTAATCACCGGGTCTCTTTGGTCGTGTTCTGCTGCAGTTTTTAAATAATGTTGAATTGATTTTAATGAGATGGGACATGGTGGAAATTGAACCGACATTTGAAGTAAATGTTACCACTTTACTGACCAATGATCAAGAGTAATGACACAATGAAAACACAAGGCAAAATGCAATAACAACAAGGTTATCCGAGACAGCTTATGCACATTTGCATCACAAGTTGTCACAAGGTTCTCGTGAATGCATGTTAATAATCGAATGTATAAGAAACTCTGATACATATCGATACTCGGTGGTACTGCGCTCTACTGAGTAACAGACAAATTAGAGTACACGGCAAACAATAGAGAGCAGCTTTTTCCAACAGAAATGTCCCATAGAGCTTTGAATACATTGATAACTCCATGAGATGTCCACAATGACGTCATGACTTTTGGCGGGAAAGTATTGAGTAGCAACCTCTGCTGTGCGTTTAAGCGATTCCTAGAGAATTAGTAAGCTGTATTGTGGGATTGGTGGGGTTTGTGTTTCTTATCATATTTGTTATTTACAATGTTATTTGCTTTCTTTAGTTTTTTTAGGTTATTTATGCGCTTCACATTCACTAATTTGATTTAAATAAGCGCTACTCTATCAAACATAAAACTCACTACCTTTTCACTTTGGAAATGGTTGGAAGCAAATATTATCATGATCTTAGCGATGATGCAAAGGTGCTAATTTGTAATAAAATGACATCTATGAAACATTTGGTTCCACGTCCCCTTTCATGGGGAATGAAAAGTGCCAACGAATTTCGAGCCTTTGTAGAAGTGACTCCCGTAATTTTTTTTATAAACAGTCAACTTTTTAAATATTTATTTTAGAAATTTGTAATAAATAGTCATCGAGAGAAATATGTCTCTCGTGGGTCACGGGTCACCTCTATCGTAGAGATGCCCAGAATGACGTCACAACGTTTGGCAGGAAAGTGTTGGCAACCTCTGCTGTGCGCTAATTCCTAGAGAGTAAGTTTCAAAGTTTTAGGATGTATTAAGCGCTGAGGAGCCTGTGCCTTGTCACATTTGTTAAATTCAATGATACTTGCTTTCTTTCGGTTTATTTAGTTTCTGTCTGCGAATTTCATCGACAAATTGGATTAAAAAAAGCACTATTTTATCAACACACGTCAAATCCCTACCTTATCTGTTTGAAAACAGTTTGAAGTAAATATTATTAGGACTTTACCTATGATGAGAAGGAGCCGCTTTATAATAAAATGAAATGTATGAAACATTTGGTTCCACGTGCCCTTTCATTTAAGGAAAATGCCATCAAATTTTGAGCCCACGTGCTATTAGCGTAGAAGCCACGTAAAACATCTCAGAATGTCAGGAAAATATTTAGACGTGTAAATTACGAATTACGAAGATGAGCGAAACCTATAACCTACTACTGACTTGAAATCACTATCAAACGTTTCTTGCTTCAAGGCAGAAATCTACTTTTGTCCTCTTTGTTCCGACGCGGCTTGGTAATCGCTCTTTTGAATCCATTGTTTTAAGTGGACATTTCAATACTGATTTTCTGAGTGAAACTCGAAAAAGCTATTTCTCAATTTACTTTATTCTTTTAATTTTAACTTCTTTTCATACATATACTTTTAATTAATAACTAACAATCGTATCAAGAAATGTTTCGAATAAAATTTGTTTGTCTCAGAGGGGCCTATTGAATGATACCAATCTCGATCTGCCATCTCCACCCTCTGGAGGTGGGGGGTGGGTCAACTTGTGAATTGCAAATGGAAACCCTTATTTCTAATAGCGGATTCGAATTCTCCGCAAAAAAAAAAAAACGTAGATTTTGTTTGAAATATTTTTTGTTTTTCAGTAGATGGCGCTGTAATCGTAGAAAACAAAATTTTTCGCAATTCTGGTGAAATTGCATCAGGGAGTGAAAAAACACAATAACCCAATAACCCAAGCCACCCACTACGGCCTAGCCACCACCTACCAGCTCCCAACAAGAATAAAAAATAGATATCCATTAGATTCATTCCTCAGCATATTTTCAGAAGTCAATTAATCACATAGGTGCTCTGTGAGTTTCCTATTCATGTGTAGTTAGATTTAGTTGTAAGATTAGCATTTAAGTTAAATATAAGTCATAAAAAATACATATGATGTAGTATAAATAATACTGAACTATGTATATTCGTTCACTAATAAAGATATATTATTAAAAAAAAGGGAGTGAAAAAACATGATGGTGTTTTTAAGAATCTTACCTAGTATTGATAAGAGTGCGCACCCCTCAAACTCTGATAGAGAGCGGCGGGGGGATAACTTATAAATTTCAAATGGTATAAATTTTAAATTGTTATAACGTCATTAATAACATTTAAAAGTGAATGAAATAAGGTTAAAAAGGGATAACTCTTCCAAGATCTTCTTGCTAAAACGTTCCAAAATAAGAAAAACCAAAATAAGTTTTTGGAGATTTGTAAAGTTTTTAAACATAAAAAATTGAACAAACATTGCGAGACGACGTTATCGGAAATCGATTGCGTTTTGTGTTCGCCGAAAAGTCCAACAACCATTTTTTGAATTGCGTACCTTCACTCCTTGGTCTGCTTCCATTGCGTGCACTTCGGCTCTCAGTTTATGGTCTGGTTTCATTGGATGCACATCGAGTTACAGTTCCTGGTCTGCAACGATTGGCGATGATTTTCAGAATCGAATAACGTTCTGTCAGTTGGTGCTTCTGCAAATACAAAGGGATCCTCAATTCTTTGCGAGAGTATTCTCTGACGAGTCAACTTTCGCGAGTCACGGTGCAATCACTCGACACAACATGCATTATTAGAGTACCGAAAACTCACATTGGTTACGTCAAGTTGAACATCAGCGCCCTTGGAACGTGATTGTTTGGTGTGGCGTAATTGGCGACAAACTCATTGGCCCGTATTTGGACGTTAGTGCTTGCAGACCTTCCCTTAACGTGCGACCATCAATGTGGTTTCAACATGATGGTTGTCCAGCTCATTATTATCGAGAAGCACAAGAAGTATTAGATTGCATCTACCCACGTCAGTGGATCGAAAGAGGTGGTACAGTAGCTTGGCCTGTCAGATCACCAGATCGTACCTCCCTTGATTTTTATTTGTGGGGTCATTGAAGGGTGAAGTTTATAATCAACTGCCAACAACACGCGAGACCATGATTGAGCGAATCACCGCTGCATGTCGTAAGATTACGCCCCCAAAACTTCTTAGTTGTGTTTAATCTTTTCAAGTGCGGATAAATAAATGCATCGAAGTGGGTGGCCACGTTTTTGAGCTCTTGTTGAAATTATTATTTAAATCAAGCACCCCGACGGTTAGAGGGAAGGAGGGAAGGGGACTCTCCTAAAACAAGCATCCCGTTGGTGATTACAAACACCCCCGATGTTATAGCAATTTTAAATTTGTTCCATTTGACGTTTAAAAGTTATCCCACCCGCTCTATATCAGAGGTTGCGGGGTGCTCACTTTTATCAATACTAGATTTTCTACGATTACAGTGCCATCTACTGGAAAACAAAAAAAAATGTTGTAAACAAAATCTACGTATTTTTTGGGGGGAGAATCCGCTATTAAATATAGGGGTTCCCATTTGAAATTCGCAAGTTGACCCACCCCCCACCCCCAGGGGGGAGGAGGCAGTTCGAAGTTGGTATCATCCAATAGGCCCCTCTGAGACAAACAAATTTTATTCGAAACATTTCTTGATACGATTGTTAGTTTTCAAGATATTTAGTTGTCTCAAGATAAAAAAATCACCTTATATATTACAGTGAATACTTTAAAAAAACATGGAATATATTAAAAAAGCATGAAATACATTAAAAAAATTTGTTGCGTGTCTCTCACAATCCAACGCGTCTTCTAACCATTTTTAGGCGTTAAACGCTTATTTTTTCTTTCGCTTACATTTATTCTTAATTTGGAGTAATCCTTCGTAAATTTATAATTTATATAGTAAACCATTACTATAGTCTTATTTGTCCGCACATCGTCGAGAGGACCGCCAGATAGCATTTTCGCATACGTGCCTCCCCGCGCTCCTGCGTCACTACCCATCGGCAAGAAATTGGGAAATAATGAGGATAGGGGATTGGGTTTAGGACATTTTACAAAGGTTGGACTAGACCTTTTTACGGGCCACGCTTTTAAATAAAAAAGCAATAGATAAAATCATAATTAATAAAAACAACTAGATATGAAATGGCGAATTATCTAGGTTTCAGCGACCACAACGCGCAGATTATTACAATTACAACATGAACACAGACCACAAATACTACACTATGTGTAGAGCATTTACTAAAGCTATCTACTAAGCTAAATTATTAACGGACTACTGCAAGAGTCATGGGATGCAATTTATAACGCGGTTGAAACTATTGAAAAATTTAATTTATTTTTCTCAAAAGTTTTTACTTTACATAAACGTATGCATTTCACATTTCACGATTTACTTTATTTCTAAACATCACAACGTATCACCCGGTTTCCATGTCTGCTTCCGAAAATACAAAAGCATTTTAAGGAAGACAAAAATCAGACAAAAATAATGAAAAATGATCAGGATATTATGAAAGCTAGTAACGAAACTAAAGCAATGTGGATTATCGTAAAAAATAGAACCACGCATCATCTCCATACGCAATAGAGAATGTTGTTGTAAAGGATAATGAAAGAGAAGCAAGTTATCCAGAAAAAGTAGCTAATCTTTTCATCCAACACTTTTCAAGAATTGCGGCTAAATTGTGGTAAAACCACAAAATTCAACATCATATGCTTTCCAAAAAATTTTCGACCCGATGTTTGTTTCCGAATCGTCTTCCTGTGAAATGCTCAGAACAGTCAGTAAACAAAAAAATAAATATTCGGCTGGTTTGTATGATTTTCCAGATTGTATATTAAAAACTTGTGAACCTGTCTT